ATTACTAGCTCGCGAATTAATTAGCTAGGAGAGAGAGAATGGCTAAGCTAACTTGAACAGTATAGGAAAAAAGCCACTAGCAAGAATCCACATACGTACGCAGCAAAATACAAGTGGAAGATAGGAAAGCAAATCGCTATTCCTAGCAATACTAGAAGAGAGATTTCTAGCGCTTTCTACCAACTTAAACTAGGGCACTGTTACTTAAAGGACTACCTATATAAGAGAGGGAAAGTGGATTCTAATAGTTGCCCCTGCAACTATAGGTCTACACAAGACCTACCTTATATTCTATTTAGATGTAATCTATATAGAGAGGAAAGGAAAGGACTAAGAGAAGCCTGCGAAGGCGATCTATCACTACCTATCCTCCTTTAAACAAAAGAGGGTATAGAAGCAACTATTACCTTTATTTAAGAAACAAAGGCTGGAACACAAGCCTAGTACAAAGGAAACACAGAAAACGAGGAGCAATACCTGTAACAGGTAGCCATAAACCTCCCCTACCCTATCCCCCCCTACCTACCAACCAATAGGCTACGAGCCTCACCTTTATCTAGTTAAAACCCCTCCTAAATATCGTAGCTAGAAACAACCTACTTAGATACTTATAGGCCTAAAAACCCTACACGTCTTATATAGCCTTTCGGGCTGAAAAAGGACGTTAAACTAGAATAATAATAATAATAATATAGCATTCGCTCGGAAATTCACCTATTACCCGACTATGCGCCCGGCCGAGCGCAGAATGACTTCTTTTTGGTTGGTGTGCCAGGCAATGTTTATGGGGTTGTAGAACTACGAAAAACTACTGCACGTGAAGAGGGGCGTGCACTTTTGCAAGAAATGCGACTCATCAATTTCAATCGACTGAAGGCGTGGCTACACACATGCTTGACAGATCATGTGCATCAAGAGCCTGAAGCTGCTTCTTCAATCGCAAACCTTAGAGTTATCGACTGCCACCATAGTGGAAGAGTGGTGGTTCCTGCGCCAACCGAGTGCGAATACGTTGCGCTCTCGTATGTATGGGGTGTGCAGGGACCTGGCAATTTCGAAGATGCTGATGGTTTTCCACCAACAGTAATGGATGCAGTGATAGCTACGAAGAAGTTGGGCTATCGATATTTGTGGGTTGACAGATATGTGAGTGAAGTTGGCTGTGCGGCGTCACAAAGCTGATTGTGTAGTGCATTGACCAGAGCGACGAGAACGACCAGCACAATCAAATCAAGCAGATGGACTTGATTTATTCGCACGCCAAAGTAACAATAATTGCCGCTGCTGGTAAAGACCCATCTTATGGACTTCCCGGCGTCAGCCGAAATAGCTTCGAAAAGGTTTATACCGAGCCACTGAACAGCAATTGGGCCCTGAAAACTGAGCTGCCGCCCCTATTCAGCTGCTTTATCACTTCAAACTGGTTTCTAAGGGCCTGGACATTGCAGGAAGGAATTCTATCCAAAAGAAAACTATGTTTTACAGACTATGGCGTACTGTTTCTCTGCAATTCGAATACGACTGGCAACACGTGTCTAGAGTGTGAAAGCTTCAAGGATCACGCGAAAAAATATAAGCAGTTGAGCATTCCAATGGAATCGGCTATGAACGGGATCATTCCCAACAACATTCTAGAGGCGCAGACTTCCGAGGAGAAGCTTTCAATAATCAAGGTCTTTCTTGACGCATACTCCCAGCGCGAACTGACCTATGAATCCGACTCCCTCAACGCCCTTCTTGGGGCTTTCAACTTCATTCGAAGACGTGATCCCCCAGTATATCATCTCTGGGGCGTTGCTTTTACAAAAGATACGTTCCTCAGTTCGTCCGATACCCAAAACGAAGTAATGATATCCCTGGATTGGTTTCCCAAGCGCAAGGTCAGTCGCCGCCCAGAGTTCCCCAGTTGGTCCACACTGGGCTGGCGCGGGGCGATTGGATACTGGGATGGCCACCACATAAAGCTCTCACACGACTTCTCCATCCGATACTGGGATCGTGGCACCTACCGGCATCTCGATGAGACTTTCCACGAGCCCGAGTACGCCATTCGTACCAATGAAACACCCCAATCCCAGGTCCTTGAGATCACAGCCCATGTCATGGACCTCACCGTCTACGAGGAAAAGTCATTGACACATTCGCTATACTATGTCAAATTCCCATTCCTAAAGCTGATACCGGACCTTGTGCGTCGAGATTACCAACTCGACATTCCCGTCGACGAAGCCAATACCCTGCTACGATGGAACGATTGCACCGGTCTTTCGCACCGCCCCTCTATTCTCTGCTGCACGACCCGATACCGCGATATCGACCACAATGACTTTTCCAAGGAGCTCGCTTCTCGCCTGCTCCTGCTTTTCTTCAGGAAAGTCGGCGACGACTACGAACGCATCGCCATGTGGAGTCCCTACACCGAGATCTATCTAGGCGTCGAGTTGGATGACGAAAAGCGGCCTTTTTACTTTGAAGACGGCGTGCGCGAGGGCTGGCTCAGTGTGGATTTAGATGCGTATGCGCTCGCGTTTGCGGAGCGACGCACGTTTCATGTACGGTAGAATGGACATGTTCGATGCTTCTTGTTGCGTCATCAAGGGCTGGATTTCTGGGAGGAGACGTGGAGGAAAGGATTGTAGAATACTTCACTCGTACGCATGCCTGCATGTTCACAATATCAACATTGTCCTTGTTAGATAAAGCATACTACTTACTTACTTACTTAATCACTCGACACTCCGCACCGTATATCAATCTGCAAACCCACTAGCTAAATCTTATCCACATCGCTGCGGAGTTATACATGCACCCATCTCATACACACACACGGAAAATTCCCATCTCCTTTACTTACACGCGAAATCGCATCAACTGTAGACCAACTATACAGCCAAACCAACAACCCTACCGCCGTACAGCAAAGAGAATAGAAGAAGAAGAAAAAAAAGGGACGGCTGAATCTCCATTCTGAAGACGACGACGACGCCGACGACGACGACGACGACGACGATGACGATGACAATAATTACGCCAGTGACATGTACATATTGTACCACGCCACCCCATTTTTCTTCTTCCGCCCATCATCTTTGCATCCTTTCCTTATATGTACCATTTATATCCCTTCCTTTTCTCTCTCTATCCTATATCGCATCCTAGCATCTCGTACGGCATTATCTCATATGCTACCGTATACCATTGCCACGCCAAACCACGATCCATATTCTCCACCCTTGCTACGCGATTTTTTCTTTTCACCACTGAGATGCTCAGATGCAAATGAGTGTGGCAGGGATATGTTTATACAATCAAGCTTAGTTATAGAAGTTGCAGAAGGTGGATGGATAGAGTGTAGCAAGGGAGGGTGTTAGGGATGGTAGGTAGTGTGTTAATCTAGACGATGCAATAAAAATGGCTCTCTTCACGGTATTTGGAAGCACCAGGTGCAACTGCGTTGTCGTATGTATGCGCCGTGGAATTAGTTGAAGCTGAGAAAGGAAAAAAGAGACAGAAGGGGGGAAATCAGAATGTAGCGTGAATGGTATGTACTATGCATATAACATTTCATGCTAGGGGATAAGACATGACGGATATTTCACGCTCACCGACCGCAGCCCCACAGTCCAGCAACGGCACGACATCAATCTCGACACATGCCAAGCAACTGCTTGTATTTCTATCTCACTAATGTACATATTTGATCAAGCGCACTGAGCACACACCATCTACTCTCCATCCTCAGCATGGACAAACGGCTCGTCGTCACTCGAGTCATCGATTTGCTCGGCAGCAGGAGCAAACTCCTCATCAGCCTGATCGTCGTGGTCATCGTCATCCTGCTCTTCCTGCGCGTAGCCAGGAGCATGTCGTGCAATTTGTGGACGAAGCGCAGGATCTTCGTCATTGGACAGCGTGCGGAAGAAAGGGTGGTTATCCGTTAGTGGCTTGCCGGTGGTGATGAAGCCCATGGGCGTGTGCTCAAAGTCTTGGCCTTTGCGACGTAGAGTGATCCACTCGTGGACTATTCATACGTTAGTAACACACACACAGAAACGACTACGTTAGTGGATACGTACGGAACGTCAGCGGCTTCGTTGCAAAGGCGGGTTTCTCAGGGTGCCGAGACAAGTCTTTGGAAAGTCCCAAGTATCCGAGTAGCTCGCAGTACTCATCCCATTCGAGATACAAGCGTCCGGAAAATAGACCCAACTCTACCCTAAGCCAAACAGGAGCAGAAAAGTCGGCCGGCAAGGTGGGAATCGCGTAGTAGTTGAGTTGGTTGAAATGGAGCATCCTACGCGTGACTGGCGCAGCGTAAACGATGAGATGGACCTTGCTGTTCGCCTCTGCCGACTGCAGACATCGCAGCACTTGTATCAGCTCGTTTGCCTCCTCCGGACTAACTAGCAGAGCTTGCTGACTCAGTGAGCTCCAGAGAATCCACTGTGAGGGCCGGATAAAGTTGTCGTTAGGCTCAACCGTGTCAACCGTACGACTGAATTGGGCTGAGATCCATAGGCCGGATTTCATTGAAGGATTGACAGTATGCTTTAGGCCCAGTTCGGTCCGTGCGAGCTGCGAGAACATAGGTCGGTAGGCATCACTTCCAGCAACCAGCCATCCGAAAGTGGCGAAATGGGCAATGTCTTCGTGGAGCTTCTTCACTTTGTACGCCTGGAATAGTAGGGCTTGTTGTACTTCGCGCACATGTTCGACTTCGACTTCGACCTCGCATTCTGCTTCACGTTCCTGCTCGATTTCCACCTCCTCCAGGGCTGATGCATGGACAGCAGTACCGCGATCCTGGAAGTGCTTTTTTCGATCCTGAAGCTCTTGAAAGATTCCTTCCAGACGCGGATGCCATGTGGATATCTTGGAAGTACCGTTCTGACGCTGGCTCTTGGGCTGGTAAAGCTGCTTCAGCGAGAGGGTTTCTTTGGTACGAACTTTGGACAGGAACATATCTCGGGACAAGGAGTCGCGCAGGTAATCAGGGTGTTCAAACCGAGCTTGCTCTTGCTGCAAGTAATGTGACGTCTGAGCAAAGAACGAAGGTTCGGATTGCTCCATGATATCGCATGTTTGACCAAAGACCCACTGCAGTACGTCGCCGGATGTTGGATGGTAGAAATCTCTAGTTTCCCCCAGTCGATCGAGTATGCCTTGGTGCACTTCTGGGGGCGAGAAGAAAGTAACCGACTGAGTTTGTCCAAGTAAGCGCAGTCGCATGGCTGCCTGTACCAGTGCATCCTTTGTCAGATGTTGGCCAAGAGTGAGTGCAGCCCTTGCGTGAGGTGGGAACTTGAGGTCAGTTCCCCGACAATGACTCTCGTCCAAGTACACTACACATCGCTCAAGATTATCGGCAAAAGGAGATGCGACCAGAGGAATACGCTTATTCGTACGATATAGCACCCACACGCGGTGATCATCGTCGAAATAAACTGCCGCTGCCGCTTCGTGATCTTCTTCTAACCAGGCTCGAGCAAAATCTTTGTTAGAATGTTCCAATACTTGAGCACCAGCATCGATAAGGATGCGGATACGTGGATGTGACTCAGAGCTCAGGAAGCCATTCGTGCCATGGAATATCCTGTAATGCTCCTTGGGGTGAGTGTGATGATAAGGGTGCGCCAGATTCCCCATCAAGTCTTTCTCAGTCCAGCGAGTGCCTCCCGGAAAGGCCATACGGACATAGGACTGATTGCGAGGTGCTAGGAGGTAATATGGAACTTCTGCGTTTGTGTGCGCCAGCTTCGGGAGGTCTTGCTGCTGAATCAAAAGTGGAAGCTGGTGTCGGGAATCATTGGTGCCTGAGAATCCAGTGACACGGGCCCCAGTCCTCTTTGCCTTGGTTGCAATTGACGGGAAAAGATTCCATCCAGAGGCCTGGAGCTTCAGTCTGAACGTCTTTGCGTATTTTGGAAAGACAAAGTTGTTTAAGTAGAAGTCGATCAAACAAGCACTGTGGCGCACCACTTGGTACAGCTCGCTCAACTGTCGCATGTCTTCAGGATTTATAGCTCCATAATCATCAAGCTCTCTTGGTATACGCCATCCTTTTGGAAACCATTTCTCATACTGTATGCTCGGTTCATCGGTCTTGGCGAGGTGTTCAAAAGCCTCTTTGAACTGAGAAAAGCTGAGTCCTTCGTAGTAGAACGATAAACATGTCAAAGTGATGGCAACATCAGGATGCCCCCATTCAGCAGTAGGAGATGCCACGCCCTTGGCCAAATATGGTACTGCAATAGGCACACGTGTCGGATGCAGTCCATACTGTACGTTCCATCGTTTCTTTAGGGTGGTGAGCAGTATACGGTGTACAAACAAGCCACGCAGCAGATTGACCGTCTTCATGAGTGCCGGTTTATCCTGGAAGGCATCGGAGATTCTGGAGACTATGTGACCGCGGACATTCGGGCTGGAGATATAGGTCTCTAAATCTTTTCGCATAGCGAGGGGATATTCAGCGCAAGGCAGGATCGATGTGGCTTGTCCTTTGCATATAATCGAGACGAGAAGGCGGAGAAGGAAGTCTTCAGCATCTTTGCGCAAGAAATAGATGAGAGGGAACCCGTCTATGCCGCGATGTACAATCTCGATACTGCGGGGATATCGCGATTGGACTGTTGACGAGAAATCCTTTACGAGATGAAGAACAGCCTGGATAGCTTGCCAACGCATTGGGTGCCCGTCCACAGTTGACTGTGTTCCAGAAGGATAGATGAGTTGCGTCCTTATCGCTAAGGAGACGTCGCACTCGTCCAAAATATCTCGGGAATACTGATCGAGCCAAAGCTGGATCTCCATTATCTTGGACGCCGCTTCGAGGTTCCCGTCACACAGCTGCTGCAGTCCGCTCAGCTTGAACGAAAGAATGTGCTCAGGCAATGTGAGAAGAATACCACGGCGGTCGCGCAGCTGTGTGTGCATGTTTCCATAGAGGCCGATCAAGAGATCATTTGTCGGTGTCCTTCAAGAAAAGGGCACATGCACCAACTCGCGATTTACCAAGCCCCCAAGCTTGGCTTGCATTGCTTGCGCAGTCTGAAGTAAGAGAGCCCTTGGTACAACGACGCGAGCCAAGTCTGCTTTATTGGCGAGAAGAGCGGCTACCATAGCTAGAAACTAAATCAGCGAAATGAAGAGATCTTGGAATTAAGGGTCAACTTACGGAGGATGCAAGAGGTCTTTCCCTTGCCCATGAGAAGTTGCAAGACGGAATTCCGACCTGACTGAGGTGAAACGGTTGCCAGAGCCACGTCAACTTGCTCTTCTCGGAGGAGAATGTCGCCATCAATCTCCAGTAATAGCCAGTCGGGATGCTCTAGTGGATTCCAGTTGGTGTGTCCTTTGTTAGACCACTCATCCTTCTCCTGTTGCTCTTTCCTTCTCCGCTGTGCATCCTGAATGCGAAATAGTTGCTGCAAATTGGTTATTGCAATGCCAAAACCGACAAGTGCCTCTTTCGCGCCTCTCCCAAATTCGATAGCCAAGGACTCGCGCAATTGAGTAAGTAAGTCTATGGATGTCATACTTGGCCAGAGATCGACCATCTGAAGCCATTTTGCTTGCGGGTCGGCAGCTTGAAGAGCACATCGGACATGTTCGGCCGCTGCAGTAGCAAAGTCCTTTGCTGCTTGTATGTTTTCCTTGGCAACATGATAACATACGCGGTATGGTTCCTGTTTCTTGCTCATCATATGATCCTTCAGCGCGTCGATGCTCGCATCGAGCTCCGTTGCATATCTGCACTGAACGAATGAGGATGGGTCCTTGAACTTCGCAACGACTTCTCGGAGCATCTGGACCTCTTGTGGCTGCGAAGCAATCTCCTTGGCATGCACACTCTTCTCTCCTCCGGTGTCAAAGCGATGATGGTAGTTGTTTGAGCCATGAATGACATTAACAGACCTGCTGCTGAGGGCTCCAGCGTATGTCCCTACAACAGCCGACGAGCTCATTTTGGCTACAGTTTTATAGGGAATCTGGGCCCTGAGCAACTTCGAAAGTGTCATATCATCCCCAGCTCTAGAACGCTCGGGATACACAGAAGAGGGTAGTGGCTCAGTTATCATGCGAGGTGGCAGCAATGGCTGATTACCTGATACCCGTAGAGCAACCCGAGAAAGAACTTCCTGGACCTTTTCCAGATACAAGAATAACTCATGATTCTGTGAAAGGCGAGTCCATTCTGGAGCGATGTCGGCTAAGGCGCGCTCAATATTTAGATGTGCCGGGTCAATTGAAACCAGTTGCCGCGGGTCGATCTCTGTAGAGGGCCATTGCTCTAGAATCGAGGCGGCCATCAGTTCGCATGCCCTGTCGACATTTGGCCCGTGTAACGTTTCTGCTTTGACTAGTTGCGAGCGTTTCTTGAACCCAGTTTCTGAGAAGGGAATCCGTGCTTTGATCATCAAGGACACGAGATATGACGTTGGGGGTGCCCCATCCGCGCGGAAATGGAAGCAAGCAGAGTGTTTTGGTGCAGGTATGTTGCGTACTTCTGGTAGCATGGCGAAAGAGACCAGAACACGGAGCAGGTTCAGATTCGCGTCAGACGAAAACGCCATTGCACTGAAAAGAAACATGAGGCTGAATCTGTCACACGAGTTGCATTGCAGCGACTTCTGCACCAGTCCCCCCCATTCGGCTCGGACGTCTACTGTGAGGTGATCACTGAGGAGAGCTTTCCGGTAGAGCTTGTCGTAGCCACCCACAACCGGAGCATCATGTAGAAGGGCAGCCAATGAAGTCTCGATGGTGCAGGAAGGCTGCCAGCTTAACAGCAAATTCGATATCTCGAGCACATTCAGGCGCTCCTGTGAATACACGTGAGTATCTCGCGAATTGTAGATGGCGTCCTGATAGTCGTGCTTCTGTTTGGAGCCATTACATCTCGTAAGGGCACGCGCACCGAGATGTACGGCTTCTTCCGATATCTCAAGACATTCTTGAACCGGCTGATTGAGAGAAAACTGGGAAAGATCCGAAGATCTTTGTAATATCCGAGCGATTACAGTGACATAACGATCGTCTTGCATAGAGATCGTGTATGCAGTACTCCAAAGCACCGTTTCCATGCACTTGGCTTCTTTCGGGTAGTATGCACGCTCTGGCGATAGCTCTGCAATGCGCTTGAGGATATCTGCTCCTTGAACAGGCAGCGGGTTCCAGGGCTGGTAGGCTGCAGTGTGCAATAGAAAAAGGGCTTCCTCAGTCCCTGTTCGACCAGTAAGTGGATCAGCTATAACATGCGACGTATAGGCATGTAAAAGAGCCTTGAGGTGTAACAGGCGCGGCTCAGGAGCGCAGTCAATGCGACCCAAGGTGTCGTTGATTCCATATTTGAGGTATTCGCCTCCGCCCATCGCAATGTCAACGCACACATGTAGTTCGTCTCGCGAAACTTTGAAGTCTCCCAAAGGAACCAATATGCTCCTCTGGCGGTAATTGGTGGTGGATTGAATTAGAATTTTGTTGCTTAGGCCGTACCAAGTTCCACAATCCTGATTCTGTGGGATGATAGCACCGAGTCGCGACGATTCTAACAACCCTCTGGAGTTGACAAAAAAGCCCAGTTCCATGCGCTTTAACTCCACTGTTACGCGACCATCATTGGAAGCGAACACAATAATCTGTGACGGGAACTCGAAGCGGCCGAAAATACGAGCGATGCTGTTGACAAACAAGCCTTTTGGCTCAAGGAGTACTGTTTGTGACTCTTCTTTAAAGTGTCGAATGGCCTGGTACTGTCCGGAAGTGAACTTTCGTAGCCACCAATTATTCAACTTGAACTTCCACGGATCTTTCTGACGAATTTCAACATCGCCAGTACAAAGGTGAAGCCAGTGGTAGCAATTCTCGACCAGTGGCATGGGGAGATCAGGTTTGAATATTTCCTGAGGAATGAACTGCAGAAAGTTACCGTCCTGATCCGCACGGACGACGAGTCGATCTTTGCGGTACGCAAGATGAATTCTGTGGTGATTGCGGATAGTCTCGCATAGAACGAATTCCATATCCCGTATCGGAGAAGGGTAGACGATCGGGTTTTTGGTGCCGAAGAGGTGCCGAAAGGTCGGGTGTGTGCGATACGACAACGGCAACATACCCATCTCTTTCCCGTCTATCAAGAGGGTACCATACAGGTAGTTGTAGTGCACAAAGTAGTGATACTGATCAGTGGTAGACCTCAGCGAGAGCGACATCCACCAGGTATCAGGAATGCTCTCCAACTTTAGTCCGGTGCAGTCAAAGTTGTCGGGAATGGGCCAAACGGCTTTCAGCGATGCGATGAATATCTGAGGGCACGAGAGAAGAGTGTCTTTCACTCGATCGCGATTGTCGTAGGCGAACATGACGTCTTGGACGATGGCATTGCGGAGGCTGTAGGGCATGGATTCGAAATCTTCAGCGAGATTGTAATGAAGAGAGATGGATGCATCCAGGTACATTCCAAGGTCCTCTGCGTTCTCCAACGGATGGGCGTCTGTGTGCAGCGTCCGTCTGCATAAAAGTGAAGCCCATATGGCCGACTGCAGAACATTGGGATCTTCCATGATAATCATCTGCAGCTCTCTTCGCCAGCCGTCAATTATATGGCGAGCCTTATGAAGGAGGTCCATGCCGTGCCGTACAACTTCTGCGCTTTTAGTGAGGGATGTAACTTTGAGCAATATCGTAATCAAGATATCCATTTGGATAGGCTCCCTCCAGTTCCGCTGGATAGCTTCCAGACGGTAGCGAACCTCCTTCAAAAGTGCAGTCGAAAGGCTGTCATCTAGTAGCGCGTTATGCATGTCTGTATACTCAGAGAATTTGTCGGAGCTCGGTCCTTGCTGAAATACTAGACGTACCACCGCCACCCACGTTGACTCGGAAGAGAAGTTGAGATTTGTTGCACCCAATTCCCTGAGAAGATCAATCCAGCGAGAATGGGTTCCCACCAAAAGACCTTGAAAAGCCATGAACTCATGGATCCCCAGCCCTTGGGGACATCTCGCTTGGCTTGCTTGAATTTGATTCGATGTCGGCCATGTAGCATACTCTAGTCCAAGGGTGGAGAAGGGCGAGGTGGGTGCAAGTTTCACGGGGAAGTGATGCCAAAACGAAGCCTTCCCGGGTCGATCTGTCCAGACGGCGCCAGCACTGTCGTAGTATCTAGGCTTCAGGCCACAAGTGCGAATGATCTCTTCTAGCGCAATCGGGAAGCCCCAAGTGGCGTAGTGAGATTCTAGATGGGCCTTTTTTTCAGATGCCAATGTCACATGGCAGCTGGTTTGATTTGCGTAGGGCCGAATCTGAGAGTATTCGCGAATGAGTGATACGCGTTTTAGCTGCTGCATTGGCTGATGGCATAAGCTAGAAAGGATAAGCCAGGTAGCATCGCGATAGCTAGCGAATACTTCAGGACACTGAAGCTCAAAGATGGCTGCTTTGGCAGCAGGTTCATAGCTCGGAAGAGGGTGTTCAAAGATGCGGATCCTCATGTTCTTCAACTCATGGTGAAGGTTGTGCCACTCGCAGGGTAGCCTGTGGCGCGAGCCAGCCACACGGAGATCCCAGTCCATGACCGCGTCGTAGATACACTCCTTCTCGCTGAGCTGGAGAGTCTTTTGTTCGTACTTTGCGCTCATTTCCTCCCATTCTTCCTGCTTGTCCTGGAGTGCGATTTGGGCTTCGTCTTCAATTTCTTGGCGCATCGTTGAAAGCTCACCTTCATCACCCTCGCTATCGTAAAAACGTACGGCAAAGCAGTCATCAGAAGGATCGTCGAATATCGTACTGCTCCGCATCTTTGGGTGTGAGGGGTTTCGAGCTACCAAGTATCGCCTGACCTCTTGGGCTCGGACCATTTCTTCGAGCGTTAACAACTCAATGGGGTCAAGTATATCGGAATGAAAGCCACAGTGATACTCTAGAAGTAATGGGTAGCATGTTGCTGCAGCCCTGTCCATGAGAACCCATATTTCCATGAGGTGAAGCAACTGCTGGCTCTTCTGGTAGGGGTACGATTGGTTGTTTGTACACATCATGCGAACGTACTCTTGGATGGTCTTGCTCAGTTCAATGACACAAGGACCTTCAGGCTTCATCGAGAGTTTCGCAGGTATTACAGAATCCTCGTGGTACTGAGATGCAGAAATTAGGTTGGAAAGAGCTTTCATGTAAGGCTTTTTTGAGGTTTCAGACTCCCAGTAGGAGTCCAAGAGCTCGGCGGCGCTTCGCTCTTGCCGTGTTGAGAATGACCGATGCTCTGCTGAAAGTTCTTTGAGAATCCTCCTGCTGCTGTTCAGACATAACTGGGCCTCGTTACTGTTGGCGTATTGGCGCAAAATGGGAACAACACGTTCCCGTGATTGTCTAAAGTTTCGCCAAACATGCTTCAAGTATGCACCCGTCGTCGCCAGCGTTGTTTCAAAATCCTTTTCCAAAGACAGCGGGATGCGGGGTTGGGCACCAGGCAGTAGGTCAGTGAAGTCATGGAGATCGGAGCTCAGCTTCGCGAGGCGGCGTCCCAGCTTCTGACGTAGAAAGTAGGCTGCTTCGAGAGGTACCTTTTTGAGTCCGTCCTCTAGAAGCTGTGCGTGGAGTATGCAAATGATTGTCTTGTAGTAATTTCTGCCCTTTTCGGCACCTAAGTGACGATATAGATACCTCTGTATGGCCACTCGCAGGGCCAGATAGAAGGCAGACCTTCTCCATGGTTTCCGAGCGTTGTCAAAGTTGACAGTGTCCCGAACTCGCTTACGCAGTCGCGGTACGGAAGTTGCAGTACCATTGGCTTCCAGTATGGTCATGAGCAGACCAGAGATGAGCGCAGGATCGCTAGTATCCCGAATCTCCGGTAGCTTCACGGCGGTTTTCCAGGTGACAGCGGCAAACTTGGTAATAGCCTCACTGCTTGCCTGCTCGAGGAAGGTTGCGAGGGCATCTTGGAATGGCTCCTCGTTGAACTTGGACGTGGGGATGGAGACGGCCGAACCAGGAACTACACATAGATTGTTAGTGTGCAGTTCACATTCGGTCCACTTGTATCACTTACAGTCCCATTGTAGTGCACCGGTTGCTGCTAGTATCTTTTCGGCAGTTGCGGATGCCTCAAAAGCCTCGAAAACGACACAGGGCTCATTTGCGGTGCTTGATGGGTTAGCAGTGAAGAGGAACAATCAGCGCTTGAACTTACCCAACTTGATGGTATATGAGTAGGCCACAATTTTGAGGTGCAACATGGAGCACAAGCATCTTGTATTGGTCAAGGCGGCGGAATTCTTTGATCAGTGCGGACTTGCCGATGGTGCCATTCACGTTGAGTATCTGACATGCTTGCAGCGTGTCGCGCAGCCCGTGGATGTAAGGCTGCACATCTGCAGCAACGCAGGGAGTGATCTTTACAACGGCGTCCAGGACACGCTGGAGCAAAGAAGCTTCGATGGTGTTGAGGTTTCCATCTTCTTTGCCGGGGATATCGCGAGGCAGGGCAACGTGGTAGTACAACTGTTGAAGCAACGGGAGGCGGCTAGCGGATGCCATGGTAAGCTAGGGAAAGCCAGCTGCAACGAGGCAGCTGCCAAAGATGGTTGCAAGTGGGGTTTGTGCAATGTGAGTAGAGTAGGCTATTGCGAAGTTGAGTAAAGCGATGAATGTTTGTGCTTGTTGTGCTGAACAGGCGCCAGCCAAGCAGAGGCGCGGTGTTTCGCAGCGCCCCACAGTTTGTGCGACATGAAAGGTGAGGCATGAGCAGTGATACGCGCAGCCTTGCGTGTGCAAGGCATACAGGTTTGTGGGAGTGGTGAAAGGCATGATGGAAAGTGAAGGGCGACCAAAAGGGGTAATCTAGCATGTTAGTCACTGGTGTAGTATTGTGTAACAGTTGTAACATTGGCCGCGGTCACTAAGCTGGCCAGGCTCGTCGTCACTTGAAATAGGCGCATGCGAACAACAGCGAGGAATGTGCGCGCGGATTGCATATTTCGAATCAAGGGGACCGGCAGAGGAGAGGTATGCTGGGATGATATACATGATGGCAAAAGACGGACGAAACGCGAGAAACACTGAACGACGGCGAGTGCTGGAGCGCCTTGGTTGCATGTAAAGACGGGACGTGAGAGGTCAGGATGGCACTGCAGACTGTTATCATATTGCTTTTGTAGTCCGGGTATAATTCAGGGAGCATGCATATCGCACCAATGCGATCGGATAGCGGCATCATGAAAGGGTGTGTGCCGCCTCCTAATCGAGAATTGGCATTACACTGGAACCAGTCTAGCAGGGTGCAGATCTGTGCCCCTTGGATTTTGCATCTGGCGAGGAGGTGGGCGGTGTGGGTGGAGGAAGAGCTGGAGCGGCGTGCTGGTGATAAGGCAGACACGGCAGTCAGTAGGGCACGGCGAGGAGAGTGAGAGTGTTGGTGATGAGAAGTCAACGGTCGATGGCGTGGCGGCCAACCGTCGCCGGTCAACGGGGGCTAGGCGAGGCATTCCGGTGTTTACCCGGGGATTACTCAATCACAATTCCCAGTACTAGCTCCACCACCACCGCGGCTGGGCCTGGGCCGCGCCTTCCCCTCCGCTGCCTAGGCCTCACGCCTTGCGCCTTGAGCATGCATGCCACACGCCCTTCTCCCGACGCTCGCTCCCGACATGCCACCACCTCATCACCGTTTGCTGCCAATGGCATCGCCTCCGGCCTACACCATACCACTGGGCTAAGCTTTTGCTGGGTCGTGGCCCACGACCCGCTCCTTCGCTTGACCCCACCCACACGGCGCGCCTGACTCTGCATCCACTTGCCTGCCTCGGTTGCTGTCATATTCTTCAATGGCCGCTTGCGTTATCACCGCTATTCCCGCCAGATGGGAGACCGCCACGATGAAGACGGCAAGGCGCCGCTGCCCGAGGCCGCTCGCTTCTGGCCCTTGCAAGCTGTGGCGCGCAGGTGGGACTGAGATGTCCTGTACCCGTCGCCCAGGTTTCTTTCCATGTGCTCCTCTTGGCTATTTTCTCCCCTTGCTCGCTGTTCGGACTCCTCCAGGACGCGACAAGACGTCGGCTGCTGCCCACATCCTTCGTTGACCCACTGCGCTCGCTATTGATACAGCGCGGGATTCTGAAAGCACACCCCACCAGCATCATGTCTGGCGACATCTTCGACAAAGATACCGCTGTCGCCGATACTTCAGCAACACCAGGAACCGCCACATTGTCATCGTCACGGCCGCACACTCCTGACAAGCCCCCCGCGGTTGAAGACGTCGAATATCAAGATGATCGCACCTCAGCATCCTCAGCATCCTCAGCGTCGACGCGCTCTGACTCGATCGCCTCAGTCGCAGACGCCCGCCCCTCCATCCACGAGACGTGGAGCAGAAACACGGGACACGCCTGGCCCGGCGACAAGGTCGAGGCCATCACCACTGTGACTACCAATGCCACCCAAGACCCACGCTTCGAAGTCGACTTTGACGATGACGGCGAGAACCCCCAAGACTGGTCCATGGCCAAAAAGTCTCTCATCATCTTTCTCATGAGCTTCTCCACCTTGGTCGTTGTCATGTACTCGACTAGCTACACCAGCGGTATACCAGGCATGATGGCCACGTTCGGCATACGATCAAAGACACTCGTCATTCTGGGCATCACAACGTACCTATGTGGTCTTGCAGTTGGATCGCTGCTCCTCGCGCCTCTTAGTGAGATGTATGGGCGGAGGCCAGTATACCTGATTGCTGTTGCCGCCTTTACCATTCTGATCATACCATGCGCCCTAGCAAACAACCTCGCACAGATTCTTGTCCTGCGCTTCTTCGGCGCTATTGCAGGAGCTGCCATGATCTCCAACGCCCCAGGTACCGTCTCAGATATCTCACGAGAAGAGTACCGTGCCCTGGCCTTTTCCATCTGGTCTTTGGGACCCATGAATGGTCCCGTTGTCGGACCTGTCATTGGTGGATTCGTTTTCCAGGCTTTGGGCTGGCGGTGGACAAACTGGGTCGTCATGATTGGTTCTGGGGCATCTTGGTTCATGGTCTTCATGATCAAAGAGACGTATGCGCCAGCGATCCTTCGCGCGAAAGCTGCAAAGAAACGCAAGGAGACCTCTGATCCGCGATATCATTCACGCTATGACGACAAAAAGGCATTCTGGCCGCTCTTGAAGGAAAACCTATATCGCCCTTTGAGCATGGCCGTCAACGAGCCCATTTGCATATTTTGGGACGTCTACATCGCATTGGTCTATGGAGTCTTGTACCTCTGCTTTGTATCGTATCCCATCGTTTTTGGCGAGCTACGAGGCTGGTCGTCTGGACTAGTTGGACTTGGGTATATGGGCATTGGTATTGGCGGCGTCATCACCATAGCTTCTGAGCCACTCCTGCGTCGTCTAATCAACAGTCACAAGAAGGATCCCGAAACGGGTAAACCGTATCCAGAGGCCATGGTCAGCGTTGTCGTCATTGCAGCAGTATGCGTTCCGATTGGCGAGATGATCTTTGCGTGGTATGTACGTCTGACTCTAGTGACAAACTATCTGCTAACAAGTTTGTAGGACTTGTACCCCTAACGTCCATTGGATTTTCCCTCTTCTCGCTGGTATTCCCTTTGGCGCTGGCAACTGTGGTGTCTTCATCTACGCTTCAAATTACCTTGTCCATTCCTATGGCATCTACGCGGCCTCTGCACTTGCCGGAAACGCGGTTCTTCGGTCTGCAATGGGCGGCACCCTCCCCTTGGCTGGCCCCAAAATGTATCAGACTCTTGGTCCGCACTGGAGCGCCACCATGCTCTCACTGATAGAATTTGCCATGATACCTATCCCAGTCGTCTTCTACCTATACGGGCATAAGATTCGGGAAAAGAGCACCTTGATCAGGCAAATGAGAGAAGACAGGGAGAAGATAGAGGGCAGGAAGAGGAGAGCCGCGGAGAAGGGTGCGAGGTTGAGAACTGGAGAAGACACCAAGGCCAAGGACCTAGAAAAGGGGATGGATGTTTGATGGAGGTTGTGCACGGAGTATTTGCGATCACTTATGCATTTGTACCATTGCATGTATATTCTTTCGTGGAGGAGTCTTGATACTAAGGCTTCATGTGCATATCCCTTATCATCATATTCGTTCACCAACACATGCGGTGTGGCGTTTTGAGTCAGTGTGTCATGTACACCTAGTGTACATTGGCAAATGAGGGGTCAAGGACGAGACCGCAGAGTCGGAGAGAGGTCTTGCATGGAGTCGGACTTACGGGTTTATTTTGGAGCCGATGTTGGGTCAGCAGTCACAACATTCGACGGATGCGTACCAGGACGCTGGGTCTATCCTTGACGCACCCCGTGCTTATTGGTAGTTCCAATGACACGGACAAGGCTTCAATACCATGGAGGCGCTCTGTGCAGATGGTCGTACGTAAGCATACCAGCACCGCTGGCCATCTGCCGAAACATGATCGACGCCAACGCCGAAGACGGCAGCGGTAAACTCAACATTGCATGACGCAGCTGTGAGCAAGCGACATACTGGATACCTCCTCGCCTGTACCTGTTCAGGCCATGGAGGATTGCAGAAACGGAGAAATAGCAATTAACCAAGCGAATCGCAATAACAGCAGAAAGAGATCAAGCAACTCACACTCTGGCAACGCGCTTCTCCAACAACTCCGCCACCATGTCGTCCAGCGACGACTCCATCGTCCCTCTCTGGATCGATAACAAACCCGTATACACCACAAAGACATTCGCCGTCACCAGCACCGCCGCCGAAACACCCGTGCACGACGCCTCGTCCGCATCCCCAGAAGATGCCGTCCTTGCCGCGGCCTCTGCGCAAACAGCCTTCAAATCCTGGCGCACTACTCCCCACACGACGCGGCGCGACCTCATCCAGCGCGTGGCCAGCCACTACGAGGCCCAGACCAACACCCTGGTTGCGCTCCAAGTGCGCGAGACATCATGCACCGAAGCGTGGGCGCGGCAGAATGTCACTCTCGCAGTATCGTACCTGCGGGAAATTGCAGCGCAAGTCAGCAGCATCGCAGGCATTGTGCCGCCGACGGAAAAGGCCAACACCACGGGCTTTGTGTTCAAAGAGCCCGTCGGACCGGTGCTGTGTATAGCGCCGTGGAACGCAGCGCTGATCCTGGCGACGCGGGGCATTGCGAGCGCCATTGCCGTGGGCTGCGCCGTCGTCTTCAAGGCCTCGGAGCTGTGTCCTAAGACGCATTTTGCTATCACCCGCGCCTTTGTGCACTGCGGAGTTCCGCCCGGCGTGCTCAATCAGATCCAGTGCGAGCGCGCGGACGCGGCGCCCGTCACTGAGGCGCTGATTGCTCACGATGCCATTCGCAAGGTCGAATTCATTGGGTCGGCCGCCGTGGGCCGCAACATCATGCAGACGGCTGCTAAGTACCTGAAGCCTGTGGTGCTGGAGCTGGGGGGAAAGTGTCCGGCAATTGTGCTTGACGACGCGGATTTGCAGACGGCCGCCATGCAGTGTGCGCTGGGTGCTGTGCTGAATCACGGGCAGGTATGCTTTAGTACCGAGCGAGTTATTGTGCTTGAGTCTGTGGCGAGGGAGTTCCAAGAGAAGCTTGTGGACGCCATGAAGGAAGTGCAGAAAGCCGCTGGCGGTGCGGTATCTGCGTCCATCGCACAGCACGCAAGAGACGTCCTCGACGATGCGCAGGCGCACGGCGAGACTGTGGTTTATGCTGCTCAAGAGTCAGACACAGATGGTACTGTATCGACGACGGCGCTCCCCCCCGCTCTCGTCGTCAACCCTTCGTCCAACAGCAGGATCTTCGACGAAGAAACTTTCGGCCCCTCGGCTTCATTGTACGTTGTCCAGACCGACGAAGAGGCCGTGGCACTAGCAAACCGCTCTGCCTACGGACTCAATGCCACCGTCTGGACGCGCGACATGGCGCGTTTTCTGAAAATGAGCCGCGATCTCGAGTATGGACAGGTGCATGCAAATAGCATTAATGTGTACACGAGTCCGACGGGCAGCCAGGGCGGGATGAAGAACAGTGGGTTTGGCAGGATGAACGGGAAGTGGGGGTTAGAAGAGTTTCTGGTGGAGAAGTTTGTTACGTGGTGCGGTTGAAAGAACCGATGAAGCAAAAGAAAATAAACACACACACACAGAGAGAGAGAGATGTGAGGAAAATGAAAAGTTATCTTCAGGATCTAAAGTACATTCAATTAATGCTAAAAGCGCCCGGGTGTCCGTTTATTATTTCGCAAGTGGAAAGTAGATCCACGTCTGGGAAAGCAAAATTAAGCTTCCTTGTCACAGCGCGAGAAGATTATACCACAAGTATGTAGAGAGAGAAAGACTCTACACGCCTGGGTGAGGGCATCAGCAGGTCTACACCAAGAGCATCTATACCAGTGTACAACGCCGTGTCCCTCACCCAACCATAACCCATATACCAAGAGACCGCCAGCCACGCCATTCACCTCTCACCAAGTGAAAGTCATCAACTGCGGGTTGAGCACAATGGGCAGCAGGAAGTGACTGACGATGATTGTGCCCATGGGCCACACGGCAATGAGGGTGCGGATGCGCCAGTCCTCTGGCAGCGCAAACGCCATGGTCAGCATTACCGCCGTCATGCCAAAGCAAAACATGAAGCTCCACTTGAAGCGGCGCAGCACCTTGCTGATGGCCACGAAGAAGGACACGTGCTCCGACTCCTTGGACGTAGACCCCCATTCCAGCGGGATGCTGAGAAAGTGGCACACGAGCGCCTGCGAGACGTGCAGCGAGATGCCGCCGAGGAAAATCGTGAGCAGCGGAATCCACTTCAGGTTCGTCAGGAAGCCGCCCAGGATGGAGCCTTCGCCGATGCGATAGCGCAGCACGGCGAGCGACACGTTACCCAGGACCGTAAAGACGAGCACAATGGCGAAGTAGACTGGTGGCTAGTCAGTACGAGTTTGCATGTGCGAGGCGGTAGCCAGGCAAAGAAAAACAGGGGTTCTGGGCAACACTTACCGCGGAACGAATTGATGTAGTAATGATCGAGCCATCCGTTGAAAAATCCAATCAGGAAGTAATTCAGCATCGTCAGGATCCACGCGCAGCCCAGGGCGTAGTAGGTACCGATGTAAGCCATGATGGTAATTTTTGAAGCCAGTGGCATGTTGGAGCTGAGATATCAAGGGTTAGTCGGGCAACGGCTCGAAATAGGCAAAAGCAGACATGCGGTGGACATGTACGTGGACTTACAAGAGGAATGTTCGGAAGAGCTTGGTAAAAGGACCCCTGGTGAACCATTTGATAAAAGGATTGAAGATGAGCTCGTTGCAGCCATATGCGTACCTAGGAAATGCCAACTTGTCAGCCATACACGCATTCGAAAATGGGAGAATGGGTAGAGGGGGGAGGGAAGAAAAAAAACGTACTTCTCCCATCGAGCAAGCTCGTCGTAAACCGTAATCGAGACACCTTCCTTGAAGCCGTCGCCCTTGTACGACGCCAAACGGATAATGTAGCCCACACTCTGAAGCCGCAGACTCATGTCAAAGTCCTCGGAGACCGTCTCCTCGGACCAGAATTTGTCGTACATGCGGCCGTCTTCGTCCTTGCAGTGGTGCGCAATCTTCTGGACTGCAGACCACCGGAGAATAGCGTTGTGTCCGACAAACGGCGCGACATCGCCACCAGCCACGGCAAACCGGATCATGGTGTAGATCATATTGGTGAAGAAGGTGATGCCCTTCTCGAAGAAGTTGTTGGTCACGTTCATGACTCCGGAAGAGAATTGCAGAATCGCGACTTCGGGGCTTTGCTCCATCTCGCTGACAGCCTCGAGCAGGCAGTCCTTGGGCACACGAGTGTCCGAATCGACCAAAAGAATGTAGTCGCCTATGCGGATATTTCCATCTGCCCAGGCTTCGCCAGCATGCTCGTTCATGGCAGTCTCCATGGCTTCCTTGTAGGCCATGTTTTCCTCCAGCTGACTCCATGACTGACCTCGCGGGGTCTGGTTGAGAATTTCCTCCACTCTGCAGCTGATGCGAAGTCCATAGTTCATGTTAGACGCCTTCTTGAACTTACCGGGACGAAGGAAGGGCCTCGGTCCATATTCACCCTTTGGGTCATGTCTTGGTCGAGCCACCCAGCCAATGCCGTGTTCATCGTAAAACTCCTGACGATCCTGAGCATCCTCGGCTGAGAGAAGTTGCACTATGGTGGGTCAGTCCATACCGTGAGCACAATCGAGCACATAGTGACTTACTTCCGTCATCGTTGATAAAGATGTTCGCACTTCCTCCTTGCAGCTCGTAAGTGGAGATGGCTTGCTTGAGCGAACGAACAGTCGGTTCAATCACAGTGCGCAGACCTTCCTTGTAGACAGGCATTTGTACAGTGACGTGTGGAAGCGGTCCACCATAAGTATCGCGATGAAGTCGCTTCGGCGCCTTGCCAGAGTAGTATCTGCTGTTCTCATTCATCTGATCTGTGGGACCAAAGATTTGTGCCACATTTCCCACCACAGCTTGGAAGAAGAACTTGTGACATCAGTATCTCTTCATCAATAAAAAATGCGTGAACGTACCAATGAAAGCCAAATTTGAGCGGGCAGACAGAGCAGGAAAAGCATTCGGAGCATGTCGTAAGCTTGGACTTCCTGAATCGCAATCTGCCTCCATCCGGATCCGATGGCGGTTGTCAGCAGCAAGATTGACATTCCACAGTAGGCTGACTGCCACAGCTTGATCTTTCGAGGTCCCTCTTCCTTGCCTCCGGTGGGATCAAAGACTTCATCGTAGTCCTCAACGTCGACCACGGGATTCTTGCCGAGAACTTTCTCTAGCTCAACGTCCTGTGCATCATAGCCGTACTCAGATCCGCACATCATTCTCATCAAGGCGTTGATGATGAACTCGGCTCGTTCGATCAACATCTTTGGGTCGTCTTGCCATACGACCAACATCCCACGCGAAGCAACAAATGCAGCCGATTGACCTCTTTGACAAAAGGGAAGAGCCTCAAAGTCGGGAATGACTTGCAGACGAAGACCAGATTGAATCTGGACGTAAGGTGCACTGGTGCGGTCTAGGATATACTTGATGACCCTGGTGTTGACGGTCATGGCGCACTTGTACGAGTTAGACATAATCTGTAGCAATGGACAATAATGCGCTCACGTACGCGGACGTTTAGCTCAACGACTGCTTGGTACAGGCCAGTGCCGTCATTTTGAACACCCTGAGGCGCGCAAGCATAGCTACCCTTTGCTCTTTTCATGAAAACGCCCTCTCCGGATGCACCAAATGTCCATACTCGCTCTTCTTGCTTGGTATGCAGCCAGTTAGCCAGAATTTCGGCCTTGAGGTCCCGGATAATATCTTGTCCAGAGAAGACCGTGTCATGAGAGCGGTCGGAATCAGCAATGGAAATAGAGCTTGGTGAATGTATTCCTCCAAGCTGGAGGGGCGTAAAGCAAGCCGGCCTGGTCCCTGATGCGATGGAGTCATTGCTAGGGTTGATCTTAGCTCTTGGAGCAAGAGGGTTCAACGGAGGAGGCTCTTCGTTGTCGTCTGTGCTGTGATGAGCATGAGGCAGCTTGTCTGTGAGCCCCATCCTGCCTGTGAAAGCGGTCGGTTGGGACAAATGATAGTTATGGCGAGCACTCTAGTGAGAGAAATGAAAGTGAATGAATGGAAAAGGTCTTCAACCTTTTGGCCGGGGAGACTGATGCGAGCGAAACGGGCGAGGTAGATATTTAGTATTCAAGAGCGAGCCAGACATGGCCAAAGTGCGTCGAGCGTAAATCAGGGTAAGCGAATCCACATTAGCATTGATTGCGTCAGTGTCGATTTCAAGGGACAAAATGTGTCGGATTCTAGAGATAACCAGACACTGTGGGTGGGCTTCTTAGTTGGAACGCGACACGGGTCGGCCCGCACAAGCAAGCGTCGGATAATGGCGTCGATGTGCCACAGAACTCGAAACGATATGTTTCCACACTATCAGCTGGCAGTGGTTGCGTCTGTGCTTGGACACGTGCGTAGCCTCTGCATTGCTTTGGACTTCCTCAGTGGTGTTTGTTCGGCCGTTCGCGACAGCTCGCTCAGTCGTCGCTACGCTTCTATGGCAAGAGCAGCCTATCGCTGTAACTATCTGTAGAGATACTCAGCATCTCAGATGGGTAACAAGAAGCTGGTCGGTATCAATGGCTCCATGGTAGTAGGCGGGGGCAAAGAATGGGCTTTAGTTTCTCTGCACAACTAGCGAGCGTCAACGGACCGAGCCCAGCATGGTCCGCAGACTTTCTAGTGAGGCTAGAAAGCAACGCTAACTATAGAAGAAAAAGATTCGTGTGAGGTTAGTGGCTAAGGTGCGTGTCGGGCCGGTGTCCCTGAATAAGTGTATCCACGCAATCCCGCACATACGTTCAAGTGGTGTGATAATGCCTTCTTGCGAATGTTCATAGTGGATGCCGGAATCATTAAACAACGCTTACTTTCGGTCTTTTGTTGTAACATGATTGGCTTTTGCATTATTTGGGGATTCGAGACTTTGTTGTTGTACTGGGGCACTAATTGTCCCTGGCATAGGGATCTGCGTTCCGTGTTAGCGCGGCGTGCTGCTCGACCTATCTGCGACTCCAGGTTCGTAATGCCAAAACTGCCATACCTTGGCCATGCGAAGTGGATTGGACTAGATGGAACGGAAGCTGTGTGGGACTCAGGATCCACATTGATCACAAAAGCGCCGCGCCCCACACCACTACCAAGAATTGGCATAGGGCAACCGACGCCTGTTAGACCCTGTGCACACTTTGGGGATCTCAGAGAAGAAAGAAGAACTCTATTGGTCAATCGTGACATTGATGTAATAATGCGGCAATCCTGGACCCGAATAGCCGTTGAATCATGTATTGGTGGTACTCCGAGCGCCCGACCGAAACCTCGAAAGTAAAAAATTGGAAAGACCCAAACAAAGAGGACAGCATGAATGTCGCTAGTCGGCAAGTCTGGAAAGTTAGTCGACCGCATACAAAACTACTAGAGGGTACAGCTTACCTGTAGCTCACCAATGTGTCGACGCGATGATTGCTAGTACTGAAGCTTCGGAGTTGCACCTTTTCGCCGTTTTGGATCTCCTTCGCATCGCTGTCACCCCACTCAAGCGGCACCTCGGAGTCGGCATCAGCATACACAAGCACATTGAAAGTGCAGTTGCCGTCCAGCATGGGTAGAAACGTCACAGAGGCTGTGATTTGCCTGAAGATGGACTGAATCTCTGCCTGGATTTCCGCTTCGGTCTTCTCCTCTGGTGCATCACTGGCGCTATGGATAGTCAGAATCTATGCAATGTATTGAGCTTCCTGGACGTACTCTGGAGCAGCATTTTCCTGGTCGGTACTCTTCTTGGAGGATTTTGACTTTGAATTTTTCCCAAAGATTTGGACCTAGGCATGGTTAGTATGGGCGTATGCAGGGATTTTTACGGTTTTACTCACATCAAACTGCCAACGCTCGACATGCTCCCCAGTCTCTTTGCTCGTGATGACGATGACCAGCTTTGAAATTTTACCGCCGTACATCCACTCCTTGAGCTGGCCCATGATCTTCTTAATGTAAGCCTTGACTTGGTCATCAGCAGTCACTGCAGGTGTCAGCAGAGAATCTGGTTGAACAATGCAACGCTATATTACCCATCATGGTCAACCCATACTTCTTGACCCTGCATGTGGTCAGTGGGCTCTGTGCAGGCTGTCATGCGCTAGCTACTTACGCCGTGAAGTCCTCCGCGGGGTAAACGCCTCGCTGGAAACTGCAAAGACAGATTAGCTGGCCTTGTAGGCGTGCAGGCAGTTTGTATGCTTACAGGATTGAATTGATGGAATACTCAAACTAATCAGGGTAAGCGTGCGGCTATTTTGCTTAGTTGGATGGACCTACGAATTCATTGACCACTTTGGAGGATCCCTTCAAGGCAAGCTTGTGCACCTTGGAGGGGTCGCTCTTGGACGACTTGGAAGACTTGGACTTTGTCTTGGGCTGGGACATGGTTGCGCTGGTGGTGGTGGTGATGTGGGAGCGGTGTTGCGAGGAAGGCGTTGTTTACGTGGTTTGTTGATGGGGCAACTGCGAGCTGCAAACCCTGAGAGCGAGACGAATTGGCGTTTTGGCACGCAGAGGATGCTCCGGATGTTCTCAATCGGTGATATAGATGTGTACGCGATGAGAGTCAAGCTTGGTATAGCAGCTGTGGAGTCGTGTCGGGACGGAAAAGGTCTGGTGGTAATAGGCTGGGTGTGTCTGTAGGCGGGCGCGAGGCAGGAACGGGCCACCGCCTGGGCGATAAGATGAGATAAGATAAGATAAGATGGCGGACCTCAACCACAGAGAAAAGTTGTATCCACGGCCCTCCAATACGACCAGCAGCCGCGCATTCACCTGGTCTCATGCCCACCCATGCGATCATGCGTTCGAACTGCAAGCAGCCTCCTGCACGGCTGGCGGACGCCTCTGGCCCGCTTCGGGGGCTCCCCGCGCTCCTCACGCGTGCTTGAACGCCTTTGGCCCGCAGCCAGACACTATGCCCAGGCCTTCCGCCCGCAGGGACAGCTTGAGAAGCGCATCGCCGACATCCCCATCGACCGCTACCGCAATTTCTGTATCGTGGCCCATGTCGACCATGGCAAATCGACGCTCTCGGACCGCCTCCTGGAGCTCACGGGTACTATTGAGCCGGGTGGCCAGAAGCAGTTCCTCGACAAGCTTGATGTGGAGAGGGAGCGCGGCATCACAGTCAAGGCACAGACGTGCACCATGATCTACAACCATGAGGGCCAAGACTACTTGCTGCACTTGGTCGACACGCCCGGCCACGTCGACTTCCGTGCCGAGGTGTCGCGAAGCTACGCCAGCTGCGGAGGGGCATTGCTGCTTGTGGATGCCAGCCAGGGCGTGCAGGCACAAACGGTCGCCAACTTCTATCTCGCCTTCTCCCAGGGTCTGACGCTGGTCCCGGTACTGAACAAGGTCGACCTCCCCCACGCCGACTCGCCGCGCGTGCTTGAGCAGATGCAGGAGACGTTTGAGCTTGACCCCGACGACGCCGTGCTCGTTTCCGCAAAGACTGGGCTCAACGTCGCATCTCTCCTGCCCACAGTTGTCGAGAAGATCCCTGCTCCGGAAGGCGATCCAAACAAACCTCTCCGCATGCTTCTCGTCGACTCGTGGTACGATGTATACAAAGGCGTCATTCTGCTAGTGCGCATCTTCGACGGCCAAGTGCGGCCTGGGGACACGATACGCTCGTTTGCGACCAAGCTGAAATACATTGTGGGCGAGGTCGGCATCATGTACCCCGATCAAACGCCGCAAACCGTCTTGAAGGCTGGCCAAGTGGGCTACATATATTTCAATCCTGGTATGAAGCGCTCACAGGAAGCCAAGGTTGGCGATACGTACACAACCATTGGGTCTGAGAAGCTAGTCGAGCCATACCCGGGTTTTGAAGAGCCCAAAAGTATGGTCTTCGTGTCCGCCTTCCCGACGGACCAGGACAACCACGAGCACCTCGAAGACAGTATTCAGCAAATCATATTGAACGACCGCAGCGTTACGCTCCAGAAAGAGTCGTCGGATGCGTTGGGTGCTGGGTGGCGCTTAGGCTTTTTGGGCACGCTACACTGCTCTGTATTTGAGGATCGGCTTCGTCAAGAACATGGTGCGAATATTATCATTACTCCGCCTTCAGTACCTTTCAAGGTAATATGGAAGGATGGCACAGAGTCCATCATCACCAATCCCAATGAGTTTCCCGATCAAGACCAGGCGCACTTCAAGGTGCAAGAGGTGCATGAGCCCTATGTCTCAGCGACCATTACTCTCCCGGACGAATATCTCGGCGAGGTCATCAAGCTCTGCGAGGCGAATCGTGGCGAGCAGAAGGAACTTACCTTCTTTACGGCCACACAGGTCATCTTGAAGTACGACATTCCCTTGTCTCACCTGGTCGATGACTTCTTTGGCAAGTTGAAAGGCTCCACCAAGGGCTATGCATCTTTGGACTATGAAGATGCAGGGTTTCGTCGGTCGTCGATCATCAAGCTCAATCTACTTGTCAACGGGTCCCCAGTGGATGCCGTTTCCCGCGTTCTGCACACATCACAAGTCGACAAGGTCGGACGCATGTGGGTGGAGAAATTCAAGGAGCATGTAGAACGGCAGATGTTTGAGGTTATTATACAGGCAGCTGCGGGGAGAAGGATCGTGGCCAGGGCTACCATCAAGCCTTACCGCAAAGATGTGTTGGCCAAGCTACACGCAAGTGACCTGAGCAGACGACGCAAACTACTAGAGAAGCAGAAGGAGGGAAGAAAGAAGCTGCGCGCTGTGGGAAGTGTTGTGATTGAGCAGGAAGCATTTCAAAAGTTTTTGGCCAAGTAACGAATCGATACCCAATTCCACTCTTACGCGTCTTGACCTTGCACCTAGTCTGTTGATACCGAAAAACGCAGCTCATCAACAGTCCGCGCCAATATTGCTGCCCAGGACTTGCCCGACATCTGGCCGAAGTCTTGGTAATAATCTATCTTGCTTGCATCTTAATACGCGGAAACGGGTAAAGTTTGAAACTCTGAGCTCAGTCGCAATGCCTACCTATCAACAGCGCAGTTGTAAAACAAGTCGAGCCCGTATCACTGATCATGCCGGTCACTTGCGTTCGCTAATTCCCTGTATTCTAAAGTTTCGATGTTGTCATTGTAATTTTCACATTGTGTTCGAGACAACTTTCCATCAGCCGCATCTGGACACACGATCTCGTTGATCGACGCTAACATATCGATGACATCAGCGCGTCACCCAGATCGCCTCTGCTCGGTATTGTAGAGCAGCCATTCAGACTGCAACTTCACTTCGCGTACCTGACAGCCGCAAGATGAGACGGGCTATAGGACATGCCTAGCTCGGATCTTGCACTATAACAGGATAGGCTTCGGACATCCCCCCTGTATATCCCCGTTTTCTGAAGGTACGCTTGGAGTAGCTGTGAAGCTAAGAGACGCGATGAGCAGAGTCCTCATGGTTCAAGGGTGACGGGGCCCAGCACAGCCGGGCCATCATCAAAACTGGGTATTTCAGGCTCACCTGGCTTCACGCTGGTCAATTAGTACTGAGTTCGCATCTCAACTTGCTGACCAACATGGATATATCCGCCAATGATCCGCCCGACAGCACATGTTGCAACCGTTTAGCAAGAGCCACATCGCGTATCGAAGAAACGTTCGCTAATCTCTCTCAACTATTGTACCCTCTATTAACGACAAGGATGTCTGGATTGGCTAAACGGAACGCTTGCGACGGTCCCGTACACCATGACGTTGGCGTGGTGGCCGACATGGATAAGCTATCAAGACTCTGGAAAGCGCAAGAAGCGTTCCGCTGTAATACCCGAGTCAACGCGCGTCCATGGCCTATTTCGTTGTTCCCTCCACTTGATGTCTCGTTCAGCTGCATCTAATTTCCTTTCCCTTGACGTCGCTGCAGGATATCAGACGCAATGACAAGATTCTTAGGACTTCGGGGCGAGAGCTTGGCACGCGCCATTAGTGTAACTTGTGGTCTTTGTTTTTTGTACGTGAACACAGCGTTTGCAGGGTTTGTTTTGTCAATTATTCGCAGGCTAACGTGGTACAGATGCTTCGGGTATGCTCAGGGTGTCATGGGCGGTCTCTTGACCGTTCAGCAGTTCTTGAACCGATTCCCGCAGGTTGATATCGTTAATGACAGTTCATTCCACAATGCGTGGGTAACGGGTATGTCAGACATAATTCGCCACGTCCTCATGCCGAGACGTCGTGCTAATAATGTGGATTAATGTCCTCAGGCCTCACGGTTGGGACATGGCATCTGGGCTGTATTGTATCAGCCGTCGCAACCATTTTCATAGGCGACTTGCTCGGTCGGCGACGAACACTCATCCTAGGTCTAACCTTCTGGATGATTGGCGAAATCATCCAGACGTCGTCGCACAGCTTTTCGCAGTTCATTGTTGGTCGTGCAGTCGCAGGCTTCGGTAAGCATCGCAAAAGTCTTATGTTGAAATAGATATGCTGATATAGCGACAAGGCAATGGTTTCACCACGTCCACCGCGCCAGCATATCAAGCGGAATGCGTCAAATCTCATCGCAAAGGAACAGTCCTCATGATCAGTGCCGGTGCGTTTGTCTCCGCCGGCATCGCACTCTCATATTGGCTCGTCTTCGGTTTCGCCTTCCTCAGCAGCTCTTCAGCATCCTGGCGCGTCCCCATTGCTCTGCAAATCATCTTTGCACTTCCTGCCATTGCAATGCTATTCGTGCTGCCTGAATCCCCTCGTTGGCTGATCCTAACAGGTCGTGAACAAGAGGCACTGACAGTGCTGGCGGCGCTGAATGATGGCAATCCAGATAGCTGTGATACCAAAGACGAGTTCCTACAGATCAAAGACGCCATCTTGATCATGGCACAGGGTTCGAGTGCGGGCATGTTTTCCAACAAAGAGCGACGAGGCTTCCATCGTGTTGTGCTGGCCTACTTTGTCCAGGTCTTCCAGCAAGCCACAGGCATCAATCTGGTTCTGCAGTATCTCTCCTGGATTTTCCTGTCCCGCATGTCCTACACAGGGTGGCTCGCCCGGCTCCTAGCATCCTGCTCAGCGACCCTTTACTTCCTCGCCTCGTTCATCGTCGTCGTTGGAATCGATCGCTTTTGGGGCCGCCGTTCACTCATGATGTTTGGCGCTTCAGGCATGTCGGGCTGCATGGTCCTCATCACCATTCTACAGTATTTGTGGTCTGAGAATCGAACGAATGCTGGAAGAATCGCCAGTACCGTGTTTTTGTTCCTCTTCTCTGTCTTCTTTGCGATTGGCTGGCAGGGTATGGCATGGCTGTATCAGGTCGAAATCGTGCCTCTCCGAATCCGCGGTCCAGCTAATGGGTTATCAACCAGCGCAAACTGGTTGCTCAACTTTGTGTAAGTCTATCCTCATGACATCTCATTCTGCCAGCATAACTGACAACATCGTAGCATTGTCTTCATTACCCCGATAGCATTCGAGCGCATCTCGTATCAAACCTGGATCATCTTCGCCGCGACAAACTTTGCCATCATCCCCCTCGTATACTTTTTCTACCCGGAAACCGCGTTCCGCTCCCTCGAAGAAGTAGATGTCATATTCCAGCTTGCCGAAGACGCTCCGGGCAACCCATGGCTCAACGCGGTGATAGTCTCAAAAGTCGAGCCCTTGTGGTTCGGGAAAAGAGACCCAGAAAAGCGTCTAAAATTCAACTATGGAAACAGCTCCTGGCACAAGCGCTTAGTCGCGAGTGCAGGCAGCGGTAACAGCAGAAGCGATCGAAACGGCACCGGGCACACGAACGAGGAAAAGGGGCACTGGAGTTCAGATTCTCGAGACGCCATAATAAGAGACGTACCTCGCGGCCGAACAAGATTGGAAGAATCCCCCATCGATCGCTATCCCCACAGCAGCGTCAGTCCCAGAACCACATTCGCCACAACTGTTACAAGCGACCACGAGCGAAACTCCTCTCGCAAGAGGCTCCAGAGGAATTCCCATCGCGCAAGCAGTGCAGGCAGCAGTGAAAACAACAGCTACTTCCCAGTAGTTCTGGCATTCGACCCCTCGGACAACACCAGCTTCACCATACCACCAACTCTACCCACACACTACACATCCCCCGCCGGCGATTCCCCCATAGAACACTCGCAATGGCCCTCCATATTCGCCCCCTCGCCCATCGTCCCCCTGACACGAAGCACAAGCCAAGCCGACAGCGCGATATCGCATGCCCTGCGCATCTCGCGACTGCGACGCTCATCAGACGTGGACCGAGCCACGACGGCTCTCAACCGCATCCTGAATCCCGATCTGGCGCCCCAGCACCTCGACCTGGAACCCACCTCTCCCTTTCAGCACGCGCGACGCGCACCCTCCACATCCTTACCATCACTCTCGTTCTCCTCGTTCTCCTCGTTTTCCCTCACACATTCTCCCCCGCGTCCGCGTCCCGCTAGCAGAGACACCATCGAGTACCCGGGTGTCCTGGCGGGCGACGAGCGCAGCAGGCAGGGAAGCAGCGCTGCGAGGAGAAGCAGTGGAAGGGAAACTCATCTGCCGGATGGCGTGTACCAAGTCATCGAGGGGCGAATCACACAGGTGGGTTCTGGGCGGCCGAGAACACGGAGCGCGGGTATGTATGAGGCGAGGGATGCGGGGAGGGCGAGGTAGGAACGTTTTGTGTAGTTGTGAGTATGCGGGATCAGGATGTTGCAATGCCAAGAGATGTATATTATATATATATATATTTTTGCGGTAACTCGGTGTATAGGCGTGGTGTGTAGTTGATTAAATGTTCATTTGATTTCAATGCCACAGTGTTGATCAGATTACCCACTCGGTACGATAACTCAACGCTTGTAACCCCATAGAAAGGCAGCACTCGTCCTTCGAACTACACATGCATCTTCACAGCACGAGGACACCCTGATCATCGCAAACCGGTTCAAAATCATGCATTTCCGCTCTGAAATATTCAATGCTTCTAAAAAATCACAGTACCACTAGCTAAGTAAGTACTGTGCAAGCTGGTGTACAAAAAAAAAGAAGAATATCCTCATTACCAGCACGCTCATCTATCTGCTATCGCAGCAGTGCAAGTTATTGCAGCCCTACTACCTGCTTCTCACACCATCGTTTCTCGGAAACCCTGTTTCGTTCTTCCTTATCATTGCGTTTGCGTTACGTACATTGATATCTTCTTTTGTGCTGTCGTCTCTGACACGCATGCAATTGATCCAAGGGTTTTATCCCTCTACGGAAATTGCCGTGTGGTAATACCAAGTAAGTAAGTAAGTAAATAAATAAGTGAGGGATGAGAATGGGGGATAATCCAAGTTTAAGACGCGCGTCGTGGTATCGTGAAATCATGACATGACCCGTATAAATCGCAATGGAAATCCGCATTCGTTTTATAATCTTTCGTCGGCGACATGGTAGCGATGAAAGAAGCCAGATACAGGGTTTTTAGGGGTTTCATGTTAAGCCATGTTTTGGGGGGGGGAGGGGCCTCATGTGATGTCGTAAGTCTTCGTCTTGATAGGGAGATTGTAGAATCAAATTTCCAACATTTTTTAATCAAAAAAAAAACGTGACCAGCCATGTACGTGTGTGGGTGTGTGTGTATGTGTGATGCTGCGGTTCACCTTGCTGGTAGGCAGAGCAAAGGTGGAAAACCGGGGAGGATCATTCAAGACTCGTTGCAGAAGATAAATTTTTTTATCCCCGAGACATACATTCAGGGGATAAGATGGGGGAAAAAAATGCGTTGCTGAAAACTTCAAATAGGGTGCAGACGCCCTACTCGCTGTCTGAATGCCCAGCTTCGAGTGCAGTTAATGGCGGCGGCTCACGATGCAATTTGGACCTCTTAATTCCAAAGGAAATCGAAAGCCCCAATGCACTGACAATGGTGTAGAGGATCCATGTTCCTCGCAGGGAAGTCGTGAAGCTTTTGTGTATGACTACCCTTTGCGCATCGTTGAGCTCTCTGATCTGGATACCATGGGCAATAGCTTCTCCGCCGACAAGCATACTAGCGAGATCTCCGGGAATCCCGCTGTCGACAAGCGTCTGGAACCCCGAAGACTCCCAGTGCTGGAAAACGACTTGGCCGAGAACGAGACCGATAGCTCCAGAGACCATGCGGACGAAGCCAAAAGCCGCCGTGCCGGTGGCAATGTCACATTCTTGGATGCGTGTTTGTAAGGCGATAAGCGGAGCGCCAAAGTTGGGGCCAAAACCCAGTCCAATGACGACGAGAATTCCAATGATTTTGCCGAGATCGAAGGATGCATCGAGGGTTATCAGAAGACCGACACCGAGAGTCATCAAGAAGAGTCCGGCTTGGAGCACCTCGACGAAGCGCCCCGTCTTCTCAATCAAATGACCTGATGCGAAGGAAACTATTGCGAGAGGTACTGCAACAGCGAGCATGAGTATTCCGGTGACTGTTGGAGTCCTCTCGAGAACAATCTGGAAATACAGCGGCACAAAGTATGCGACTGAGTTGAAGACCAAGGCATCGCATGCGCAGACACCCAGTGCACTGAGGTTGCTGACGTCCTTGAATATGCGCAGAGGCATGATGGGGCTGCCGTCACGCTTGTCCTCCCACCATTGCGAGAAGGGAAAGGCGATGAATATGAAGGCCCCGATGACGATGAGTGAAATGACCAGCGGCCTGCCATAGGAGCTCCCGCTACCAACCTGCAGCCCAACAAGCAGCAGAAAAGTAGCCGTGATGATCGTGATTGTACCAAGCCAATCGATATGACCAAGGCCTTGGAGGAGCGGTGTTCTGGGATCACGGAGGTCGAGAGTGAAGTAGAGCACAACAATGGAAAAAGTAACAATGGGTATGTTGATGTAAAAACACCACTGCCACTTGAGCTCCTGGGCAAAGACACCGCCGAGCACAGGACCCAGAGCAGAGGCGAGTGCCCACGACGCCCCGACCATGCCCATGTAGAAGGAGCGATCTCGAATCGAGAACAGGTCGCTGACACAAACGTGCACTAGCACCACGACGCCACCACCACCGAGGCCCTGTATCGATCGCCCTGTAATGAGCATGGGGGCACTGATGCTCACTGCGCAGACAATGCTTCCGCCTAGGAAAACAACATTGGCCGCTAGCAGAACGGACTTTCTTCCAAAGATGTCGGATAACTTCCCCCAGAAGGGTATCGATGCGGCGTTGGTGAGAAGGTATGCAGATCCGGTCCATGCGTAGAGCGAGTCGGGTATTCGGAAAGACTGCGAGATGGTCGGCAGGGCGGTGGGTATGATGACTGTGTCGAGAGCTACCAGGAAGATGGAAAGGTTGAGAGCGATGAATGCCACTAGTATACGGAATGGCAGCGGAGTGCGGCTCCTTGGTCCCTTGTCTTCTACTGATGAGGTCGATGTGGCCGTCGGTCCCTCTTTATCCTCTTTTTCGTCGATGTTGGGCAGTTTCCATGGCACGGGTGCTGTCTGGATTGTACTTGAAGAGTCTTTCTGTGTACCGCTCGCATGCTCGGGTTGCGGTGTGACTGCCGGGGCGTCGGTCGGACCAGAATCAAGGGCAGATATCTCAACCATGATGGTGAGTGCTCAGGTCGGTGGCGTAGAAGTTACCCTGTTCTGTTACGCGCTCGTCGCGTGCGAGCGGCTTGCGTATTTGTAGTCGCTCAAAATAGCCCTTGTAACTAGCTAGGTTCCGTTTTCAAAGCCACCGCATATCATGATCCAGACAAGACACCAACGAGGGTCATCCCGAACCCAGGACCCTGCGTAGCCGCGCATCATGCGTCTCCGTCCGCCCTCGATAAGAGTCCTGACTGCAGGCGGATTAGTGTGGTACAACTGACGAGTAGTATCGACTGCGGATCACTGAAAGACGTCCGTTTGAGAGGACTAGAGCTAGTGCGCGTCAACCGCTTGAACACATGCGGAATTCCATGGCCCAGCGCTTTTAAATAATGCCAGCCCTCTCACAGTTCATGCAGTAGCGGTGACACAGAAATTGATTGCCGGAAACATGTACCCTGAAGCCTCTAGCGTTTCTTGTTGCGCCCCGGTGCTTGTTATTTGACGCCCACTAACTTGGCATTCGGCTTGTTCTCAGCCTCCCAAACATGATTCTTTGTCCAGCGTCGCGTTTGGATGCCGACCTATTGCAGCGTACGTCCAGGCCAGGTATACGACGAAAATATCACATTCTGGCAATGGTACCCAGGTATATGTCTTTGTATATACCTTCGTCAAGCCAATCCGAGCGCATGGTGGCTTGCTGTGCGATGAGAAAGGAACTGGGTGGTCTGCTCCAAGCCCACAATTTCTTGCACGATGTAACAGCGAATATGCACAACTTTGCGAGGTATCCCAGACTGTGCTGAACATATTTCTGTATACAAGCAACCTATTGGAGCCAAGAAATTTAGGTCTTGCAGTGACTAGCGCGGCAATTGGGTAAAGCTGACCAGGTAAGATGTGTCGCTGTTAGTCGATCGTTGCGGCTGAATGCCCTCGCTCAGAGTCGTTTGACAAGAGAGGTGTACACTGCAAAGCGCAAATCTGTTCCTCAAACAGCTAGAATCATGATGGAAACCGCCGGTTATGCGGTTCCCGTTCGCGGGCGCCGGTCGTTCGCAGCTTGTGCCTAACGAACGAGGTTTTGTTAGCACGTTCGTCATCCAAGCTGGCCATGAATAGCGACTCAAGTTTCGTGCACCTTTGGCATAACCTTTGTGCATACAAATTGCTGTCCAGGTCCTACTGCATTGCCCCAGGCCCAGATACCGTGCTTATTACAGAAGGAAAGGCTTTTAAGCGATGCTCACCGACACCTCGAACACGAGGGTTGGCGACCGAATGCAGCGCAAAGTAATACTCGACAACCCCACAAGGGCGTTCCCCTTGGTATAGGCAGCCCGAAGACGGTCCGCGCCGCTACCAATGACCGGGGCCGAGGTGGAGTTTGGGTGTAGCTGCAGAATCTGTATCTCTGATCTTCCCTATGTACACCCTTATGGGTGCATGGGCTTTGCAATAGGGAGCAGCAAGTAAGGCGGGAATGTTGAGTGGGCACGTGCACCAGATACCGTTGTTCTTTCAGCCAGACCGTAGATCTTGAGTTCGACCAGAAGCGTGGCAGAAGCAAACCTATCCTTTGACGTCGGCAGCTAGTGAGGGTTGACGCACCGATGTTGCGAGAGAGTGCTAGATGTCTGGTCCTCACGGGGTAGCGGACGTTTGTTGTATGGGGCTGCATGCACTTGTCCGCAGGCCAGCAAGTACATGTCGCGTCCCCCGCAACTAGTATCGAGACTTGTGTCTAATCTGTGCATCACGGCCACTCGGTCGTTCCCCGGCCACGTACTTGGTGGCGTAGACCTCGCGGCTGCATGTGGTGCAAAGTGGAGACCAGTCGGAATTGGACACCGAGGGGAAGAGTCTGTCCCACGGTAGGGATACTCGAGGCATGGCAACTGTCCTACGTGTAGGCGATGAGCAGGATTAAGGTAATCTCCTATTCTCTGCAATGACCCGCCGTTGCTATGCCCCCTTGTTTCTCCCACAGGACATGATCGGCATCTGTCCAGTCGAAGCGGAATGGCCTGTCTTTGTTGTTTTTGTGCGTGTGTATGTAGCGCTGCGCGGAGCATCCGCTGCGCATTAGGGTCCGGCGGCAGACAATGTGCATGAGAGCGACAGGGTGAGATTGGGTGGAGGTCGGGTGGAGACTGAGCTAGAGCTATGGAGGTGCGGCAATACTTAGTTAGCTAAAAGAGAGACCGGGGAATCTGCGGCCCGACCGCTGCCAACCTATCACGCAGCTATGAAGCCACCTGATGCTCATCACCACCAGCCCACCGCCCGCCCACCTCATTTGCCGTGTTCATGAGAAAAGAAACCTAAAGAACAAAACACATACGATCTTCGAAGCCGGATAAAATTGTCTCCAACCACACTGTCAAAAGCTGCAAGGCGCATGTCTACGGATTTCGGCCCCAAAAGGCGCAGGAATCTGCTATTGCACCACGGCATCTGCCCCCCACCCCCACCCCCTAGCAACCCTTTCTATCCACGCTCACCCCCTTGGCAAGCTACGTTTCCAGGATTTTTTTTTCTTTTTGCTAGTATGCGATTACAAAACACGCAGCTTAGTACGCAGCCCTGGGGATTACACATCCACATCTACGAGTTTAGTTGCCTCGGCCGGCATGACCCGCTGCCGCTATGCCGCTTTGAACGGCATGTGGTCACGTGCAGCTTACGACGAAGCAGCCATCACGACATGCAAGATGCGTGCAATAGGTGGTTACCCGCGGTGCTGAGTAATTGGGTATAATCAGTATGAAGCGGTTTCAGGATGCAGCGGCCGATGCAGCAAGCTGGAATGAATGGTGTGTTTACATGCAAGACTAATCAATCGTTCAGTGCCGGCTTGGTGGAAGGGTTCTTGAAATACTTTTTGAATAGTATATATATATATCTAAGGAGACGAGAGCTATGAAGAGAGAATGATATCTCGTCTCCATACTGACGCTCACACAACTATACCGGCACTCACACAATTGCCTTTCAGGGCCCTTAATTACCCAAGCAAACCAAACAACAGACATTCAGAACAAGTTCAACATCCACCCCCCCCCCTCCCTCCACCATGGCCCCCTCGATCCAGAAAGTCGCCATCCTAGGCGCCACCGGCTCCGTCGGTTCACCCATTCTCTCCGCGCTGCTCGCAGAACCCAGCTTCAGCGTAACCATCATAACGCGGACGAACTCGTCAGCGAGCTTCCCAGCAGGGGTGCCCGTGAAAAAGATCTCCGACGCCTTCACCCTCTCAGAACTGACGTCCGTGTTCCGGGGCCACGATGCCGTCGTCGTGGCGCTCTCGACCGCACCAGTAACAGCAGGCGGAGGAAAAGACGGACTCGCATTCCGGTTAATCGACGCGGCCCTCGCTGCGGGAATCAAACGCTTTATCCCCAGCGAATTCGGCGCTAACAACCTCGATGCACGCGCCCGCGCCCTCGTCCCTACCTACGACATCAAAAGCAACATGCTGGCGTACCTGCAGCGCGTCTGCGCCTCGAGCAACGGGTCCATGACCTGGAGCAGCATCTGCTGCGGCAGCTGGCTGGACTGGGCACTGGATCCAACGAAATCCGGGAATTTCCTCGGCATCGACGTGAAGAACCGGAGTGCTACCATCTTTGATTCTGGCGCCACCCGCTTTGCTATTACCACGAGTACCAACACGGGGCTGGCGGTTGCCAAGGTGCTGCTGAACGACGACATGACGGCCAACAAGCAGATTTTCCTCTGCGACTTTCTGGCGTGCACGAATGAGATTGTTGCTGCGCTGGAGCAACACACTGGAGAAGAGTTTCGTGTGCAGAACAAGGATAGTAAGGCGGAAATCAAGGCGCTGCGTGCCAGGTACGATGCCGGAGATGCGAATGCGACGTATCCGCTGCTGGCGCTGACTTTCGGTGCTGATGTCGATGTTGGATATGATTTCCCCGCTGAGCAGGAGGTGTGGAATGAGAAGCTGGGACTGCCCAAGGCGGCGCTGGGTGAGGTTGTCAAGGAGGCGGTGGAGCTGGCGACGAGGTCTTAGGGGTGTGGTGGCTGAGAAATGAGATGAGTCTAGTAGAATGCAAGAAAAATATTCTCTGCTGACCTTCATAATACTCGTGCTTTACAGTCTTTGTCAGTAATTTCAGGGTAGGTGATATAGTCGTGACAGTGATACTAAATAGGGGCTTTACGATATGTGAAAAGTCATATTGAGCTACAAGAGAATCAATCCACTTGCCTATCCATCAGAATATGTATACCAAGACTATCAACTATATGCGACACTACAGTTTACTTACTATGTTTTTCCATAATCCTGAAAGATCAAACTCGAGGTCCTTTCCACAAAACATGTTAATGTGGTGCTCAAACTCCATAGTAAAAACGCATTGCTGAGAAAAAGAGCACAAACTGGCTCAATGTACAGTAACAGCACAAGCCGACAGATATTCCTCAACGCCATCCGACAAATACCGACACGTCTAACCAAAACGCCCTAGTTCCCCATTCCAACACAAAAGAGAAGGAATTATCCCTACTCAAGCAGGCTTCGGCGCCGCAGGGCTCTTGGGCGGCGTACTCGTATTCACCGAGTCGGCTCTCTTCCTCGGCGCCCCCGCCGGTACCAGAGGCCCACTGTCATACTCGTACCACACGCCCTTGATCTTCTTGTTGAGCTTGCGTGGCCCGGGACTAATCCTACTCGCAATTGTGCTGGCAGAAATGGAAGATGTCGAGTGATTGCTCGCCGTGTCTGAAATGCCGGCTGCGGTACCATGACTCAAGAGGTCAATGCTGTGCATCATTCCGTGACATGTCTGCGAGAGCTCAGCTTGGTTCTTGGATAGCGTTTGGAGTTGTGCCGCTGTTGTTTCAAGAATATCCCGTGTTTGTTCTTGTGCTGTGAGTGTGCGTTCTTGAGACAGTCTGCTTTGTTCTTGTGTCTTGAAGTTCGAATTCGCAAGAGCGATGTAGTGTGAGGCGTTCTGGTCGACGAGGGCTTGGAGCTTGGCTTGCGACTCGGAAATGGCTTTGATCTGGATGCTGTTGGTCTCATTGATTTCCTGCATGGCTTGCAGGCCCATTGATTGCGCGACAGAAAGTGCATGGACCTGGTCTGCGTTACTTTCCACGACACTTGTCAGTCGTTTCAAGCTCTCTGTCAGGCTTTCAATGGCGGATGTGCTTGTTTTCTCCTCTGCCGACGGCGGCGCAATAGCAGGCATTCCGTTGGCATACTGCAGTGGCAAGACAATTGGTGGGCACGCAGGGCTATCTTGCGAGGTGTGGAACCATCTATTTCGTAGCTCAAAAAACTTGAGGTCGTCTTTTATGAGCTCCATGTCCTCGCTTCGCATAACCAAGAATTGTGGGCTCGGGCGCGCACACGACGGGTAATGCTGCTGCACAAGGCTCCACCATTGCGAACACACGGCAGCCGAGGCGAATGTGAGAATGTATGGCGGAGAGGAGGGACAGTCGCTCTATTTGATGTCAGTATACGTCCCCGCATAGAGTGCCGCACCTGATGGCTTACTCGCAGTGCATAGGCGTAGAAAAGAGTACCACCCTCGTCGACGTCCAAGCCTTTGTCTTCGGCTGGGTAGTTTCCACTTCGCTTGCGCGGCGACATTGTCCCCGTGAGCAATGGACTTTCAGTGTTCATCATCAATCCCGCTGCGAGCGAGAGACTGGGTCTCTTGCGGCCATGGTGCGATCTTCGGTCTGGCGACGTTGTACGGCGGCTGTGTATGCGCTTCTCGAAATTTGATGTGGTTGTTGCCTCGAACAGGGACTTTGTCGAGTCCATGAGGGCTGTAAAGTCAGGCATGCTCTGTGGTCGCGACATGTCTGGGGCTGGTGGTTGAAGTTCGGTGTCGGTGTCGGGAATGTAGTGGCAGCAGAAGCTATCGTCAAAATTATTAGCCAGATGACACCTGAACGACATGCAGCCTCACGACTTGTCGACGTATTGGTTGCTAAAGATAACAATCGAAACCCGCTGTGGCCAGGGCAAGGGTGTGTGGCGACGGGTGGCACTGTGTGAGAGTTGCGGGAACTGGATCTCATCCTGGTCGATGACCTCACAGCACTAGGAGGCTGCTGGGATGCGCATAAACCATTGCCATGATGGGTTTTGCCCTAGCGGGCGGCGGCATGTCAGTCTGCAATGTGTATTGTGATCCAGCAGTGGCGCATGAGAAAGCAATTGCATCTGCGTCTGTGTCAAGGGCCGCCTCGTTCTCAACGCAAGCCAGCACCGGTGCAGCTGTTGGCCAGTCCACGGTACCCGTCTCATGGATGGATGGATGGGCGAATGCAGGGGGCGCCACATTGGATACCCGGCTCCAGGGGCGCACCAAAGGCGGCGGCGGTGATACGCCAGGCTGCGGAGGCGTGTTGTTTGGGAAGGTTGCGTGTCGATGCACATGGTCGGCGCGATAGGGATTGGATCCATGGGTGGTGGGTGGAGTGGAGCTGGAGGCGGGGAATCATCAGAGAGCGCACGTACCTGACGCCTTCACAAGGGCCCTGGGCTATAACACGATTTCTGCGCTCCGCAAAGCAGAGCAAAGCCTGGGACAAAGTCACAGATACCTTTTGCCGGCGTTGCGCTGTTGAACGACGGCGGCGGCGGGGTGGGTCTTGTTTGCTTCTGCTCCAGCAAAGCCAGCCCCCCAAACGCCGCCCCTGATTGGGCAATGCTGTGGCCGTGTGCTGCTGCTGCTGCTGCGGCGTCGCCGATTTCTCCCTGCAGTCTGCGTTATCGGTTTCGAAAAGCAACGTAGGCCCTCGGCACTGTTGTGTGATCAGCGCCAATAGATCCACACAATCACAGCGCCTTGGTGCCACGAGGGACTGCATGACGAACGAACGTTTAGCTGTATGCAAATACCCATTCCGTATAGAAAGAGAGCGGCAACACGTCCGATGCCACCAGACCAGCAACCCCCACGTGCTATCCTATATGTCGTGTATGCATCCGTAAATGTAACCCGCCCCTGGCCAATCAACCAAGCATCCCGGTCCAGAACAGTCGTTCAATTGACAAGGATACCTCTCATATCGCTTCAACCCAGCATGCCACCCGCCATCCCTACCTTGATGCGAACGCGCGGCAGGACCCTTCACTTGGCACATGTCTGCTCAACCCCAACCCTAACATCAAAGTACTCCATGTGCCCAAAGCCTCGCTGAGCCAGCCAGTCCACGGGCTGCTTCGGAATCATGGACTCGAAATCCGTCATCCACGCTTCGGCTGCTTCCTTCTTGAAGATCAAATGGATATATGGCTTGAGCACGATAGGGAACGCGGCCAGCTGGGGAGTCGCCATGGCACCAGTCTGCACGAAAAGAGTCGATGTAGAAGCACTCAAAATCATAGACGGATTGCGATGGATGCGGACCGACGCAAGAGAACGGCTGCGCAGGATTTTACGCCAGAGGTTGTTCATGGCACCGCAAGATCGATTCCTGAGGACCCGGCGGCCAAAGAGGCGGTAGCTGTGCCAAGTCAGCAAGAGTTCGCAGCCTGTATGTCGAGAGCCTTACAGATCCTTTGCCTCTCCATCAATCTCTGCGTGATAGTCTTCCTTCATGTAGCGACCAAACCCCGCTTCCATCTTGATGCTGTTTGCCCAAATCTCAAGCAACGGCAGCAATTCAGTACCTTCAGAGCGGCGCTCCAACTTGGTTGGCACATCGCTGACTGCGATTGTCAGATTGCCAACAAACGGCATGTCGCACTTGCGCCTCTCTGATGCAGCCAGCTTCGCAATCTCAATAGGCGCAGAGGGATAGAAGATCTCGAGATAGGGGAGAATCGCAGTCAAGTCCAATCCAATCTCCTGCTTGGCCATGTAGATCGGGCGGTACTCATACCTAAGCTGCCGGCAAACCTGAGTCAAGCCCCAGAATGGACGGTTGGTCTCGCGAGGGAAGTTCCTGGGCGTGGGGTTGGTCTTTCCGGAATCACGACCGTCGCTACAGGCATTCGAGATATCCTTGTCATACTCTTGTTCAGCGATATCTGAAGGCAGAGTACGCACACGATCCGCACGCGTGCGAGGACGCAGAGAGGCGATACGCGGCCGATGGACAAGGAGAGCTTGTTTGGGCTCCTCCTGCGTATGCATGTAGATCTGGTTGCGGATTTCTGCTCACAATCAGCTCTGGCTTCATCTGCTGTACCAAATTCGTACCTCCAGGAAGGTCCATGAAACGGAAGGCCTTGGGGCGTGTACGACCGCCAGCCTTCTGGACACCTGCGCCGGTGCGCGCATTGGACTTGCGAATGTTTTTGTGGCCAGCCACCTTGCGCTCAGGAGCTGGATCCATAGCAAGAGCTTCAGTGTATGGGGGCAGTGCATTTGGAGAGGGTGGAACAGTCGCATGTTCGGAACGTGAGATCATATTGAAGTTGTCACCCGCGAAGCTACTGCTGGAAGTGGGAGTAGCAGGAGGCCGAGCTGATGAATCTCGCTGCTTCATGGTGGAGGCACGAAGTGGAGGAGTACTTGGGCGAATGGGTCTGGTCATGTCAGTAGAGTTCGTCTCAGCCTCAGTGGTGATCTCATTCAACGACACCACTGTCGCGGATGAGGTAGAGGACTTACGCCATCTTGCTGTGCTTGCTTCCAGTCGATGCCGTTCGATCAGAAGGTCCGGTGGACTGTGCCGTGTAGTCGTCGAGTTGGTTGCGGATGGAGCAGCCCAAAGTTCGAGCGAGGTTATATCTTGAAGGGGGTGCTGATGAACGACGAGTACACAGATAACTAACGGTGACTGAGGAATCTACACGACCCCACAGTCACTTTAACCGTGAACTCAAGGTAAGAGACGCATGGCTTCGATCGCCTTTAGATCAGTTTCTGATGCTGGTGTTGTAGGTGACGAATCCGCGGCATCCAGGTGGACTGAGGTGGCTCTTTGCGGTGTTTTTTGCGGTTTTTGTTAGAGTAGCAGGTGCAGGTGGGCCTAGGCACCGCGATGTGACTGCGCGCTGCATATTTGATACACGCATCCTTGGAAAATTCGGAGTGCGACAATCAAGACGTTGTGTGAGTGAGATAAGAAGTGGGGCAGATTTTGAGTTGTTTTCTGGTGGTAAAGGTGAGTAGTCACCGCTGAAGGTTGCGGGGAGTAGTGAGAGTGATGATGGCGCCGAGACCCTGCTACGTAATCCGTGTATGGAAGGCGCTTGTGCGATACCTAGGCGCACATCCAAACATCGCTTACTGGAGGGAATTCAACACCCTTAAGTTGTCTTTGATGCTTGCAGTGTCTCATCAGCCGCTAGAGGTTTTGATAAGCGATTGTGAGATGCAAGGTTGAGGAAGGCGGATGTGAGTGGTATTGACGTTATCACGTGGTCCTTCGTTCACTAACCTCTATCGTAGCGCCCTGATATATCATTCTACATGCTCTATTAGCGTGGTAAGGCTTTAGCCAGACAATGACCTATTTCTAAACAGCATTTATACAGACACTAGTATAATAGCAGATGAGACCTCGTTTCAACTTACGAATAAACCCCATTTTTCAATACAAGCTACATAGCCAAAGACAAAAAACACCAACTTCGAGTTTTCTGGAAACCGCTAGGAAAGCACGCTATCTAGGAGAAC